ATTCTATTCTATTCTATTCTATTCTATTCTATTCTATTCTATTCTATTCTATCCTATCCTATCCTTCCAAGATCGGTCAAATGAGGGCCCAGATAATTGGGGGCAATATGCAGACTCTGTAAATCACTTAGAGAGGACTGTAAAGCACTGTGAAGAGGTATATAAGTCTAAGTGCTATTGCTAACATTTTTCAAGAGGAAAATTGGGACCGTGAATTACAATATAGCATCTGTCTGGAGCTATGTGATCCCAGGAAAAGGTGCTGTTGCTTTAAGATATTACAAACAGGTGCTCTATTCACATTTCTGTGTGCTCCAAGCAACCTTTGGAGATTGAATCTGAATTGCTGTGTGCATTCAGTGTTGCAATGATCTAAATGGGAAATGTGTAATATAGCCTTTCTCAACTGGTTTGCTCCAGTTATATTATACAATGCCCAGGGGTGTTATTTTGGAATCCAACACATCTGGACTAAAGGAGGCTGGTGTCTGATGCAACAGGCTTTTTGCAAAGTCATAGATTGTGGGTTACAAGCTATCTTATCTACTTAATCATAAGGGCAACTCTATATGAAACTAGACTTGCTTATACTGGCATTCCTAAGCTAAGCTTCAGTGCACTGTCATTATTCAAACCGCATGATCTTTATTTTTCAAGGTACCGTACTATTTACATGCCTAAAAGAAAAGTAGCTGGTTTTAATTATTGTTATTCAGGAAGGCCTTCGTTTCTCAGACAAAGTATGAGCTCAACGGAAAAATACACTCAATTACACCGTATTGACCAGTCTAAAAGAACATTCTGTCCAGTCTAGTGTTTTTTCAACTTCAGCAATTATTAGAAGTGCGGACTTCCTTGCCAGAATTTCCCAGTCAGTATGTTGAAGTCCATACGTCTTACATTGGCTGAGGTTGAAAAACTCTGTTCTAGACCAACCAAACTGCAGTTATTAATTCTGCCCTTTGAGTCTTTAATCTTCTCATGTTGATCCAAAGGTGCTTTTTTTTTTTCAAGAGGCAACTGGGCTTTCTTTATTTTTCCTGGAAGACAGTTCACTTCTCCTTCTAGAATTTAAGAAGCTTCTTGGATTCATCTTCAAGGAAAAACAAAGAAAGCCCAGTTGCCTCTTGAAAAAAAAAAAGTACCTTTGGGACCTGGAGGACTGAGAATCTCTATAAGACTTTTCCCACACTGAGATTTCAAGATTAAAATTGTACCGAGAATTCAAATAGATCCTCAGAATTCAGATGTTGCCTTCAACGTGGCAAGTTCCAGGACTGAAAGGGCAGGACACATGCTGGGAGCTGAAGTCCACAAATCTTAAAGTTGCCAAATATGGAGACCCCCTGGTCTATGTCATCTTTTTCAAAAAGAAGACTCCTGTTTTTTTCTGAAAGGGAGCCATTTTCCAGAATGTTGAAAAGGGTTTTCACAACTGTAGAATTCGTGTTTTTCATTCTTTTATGCCACATTAAACATTCTGATTTTATTTAGTGAATTTATTCTACTTTTTTTAATTCTACAGCAAACTACAGTCTTATTAAGGATCCACCAAGAACATTCCCGCTAACATCGACAGGAAAAACGACTAGCATATAAACAGAGAGCATACCCTACTCCCTTCCAGCGCTGATGATGTTACCTAGCTGGATAATGAAACATCTGCAGAAAAACAACCAAATTCAGGGACCTCCTAGGACTCCATATGCAGGGGTGGGCTTCAGCAATTTTAGCAAGGGGTTCTCTGCCCGGTTGCTGGGTGGGCGTGGCCATGGTGGGTGTGGCCTAGATGGCCTCCTGCACTATGCCAGGGGGGTATTTTTGCCCTCCCCAGACTCCGGAGGCTTTTCTTGAGCATCCGGGAGAGTGAAAATAGCCTCCCCAGACTCCGGAGGCTCTCTGGAAGCTGGGAACAGGCCTGTTTCTGGCCTCCCTGGACATCTGGGAGGCCCGTTTTTCACGCTCCCTGAGCCTCTGCACGTGCCCTGCATTTAACTGCATCTAAAACAGGCCATGTGGGGACTCCTGGGAGGGGTGGGGTGGGGTGGGTGGGGCCAGCCAGGGGTGGGATTTGGGGGTTCTCCAAACCGTACAGAATCTTAGCTAGGAGTTTTCCTGAACCCCTGCGAACCCCCAGCAGCCCATTCCTGATTCCAAAGCATGGGAAGAGTTTCAGAAAAGACCCTCCCTAGTTTTCCAGAGACTGAAAAGAGAGGAGAGGATGAATACTCTCAGTCTTGCAAGCTTGTTCCGAAAAGATGCATACCTTGGTGAACTAATCCTATTTTATTGAAAACCTTCCTCCTCCATCTCCCAAGGTTATTCTCACATACTATTACACTTGACCACTTGTATTTTTGAAAACTAGAGAAATGGAATTTGTCAGTAAAGAAATGCTGGCTGCAATGTCATTCATTTATTTTCCAAGAGTTTTATGAATCCTCTTTTTTTTAAACAAAAAAACAAGAGATTGTCATTTTCAGCAGTGTACCATAAAAGAATGTGCAATTGGGATCCCAAATATCTGAATTAGTAAAAATACACATCTTTGAGGGTAGACAAAGAAACCAGGATGAAGCAAGTTAGGTGAAAGATCTGAAGCTCCCAAGAACCTTATGGAGAATTGTTCTGAATTCTTCTCCAAAACTATAAGATATTGATCTGTGACTTCACCACACATCTGTCCATATTTTACCTCTTTAGTTAGATTGTATACCAGGCTATGCATCGATGGGGTACAGTCAACTCGAAGAGTGTAGTTACCTAAAAGAAAAGGACATTATCTTTATTGTATTTTTGGAGGAATCCTTTTAAATAAATTAATTTTATTTGAGGGAAACCCAAACAACATAGTTTGAATGTGGATTTCTATTGTTCTTATGTTTCTGACTTTTTTAAAATGCTTTAATGCTTTTTGATTTTTTTGGAAAATAAAGTTGGAAGAGATCTTGGAGGTCTTCTAGTCCAACCCCCTGCCCAAGCTGGAGACCCTATAGCAGTAGTGGCTAACCTTTTTGGGCTCCTGTGCCAAAAATTGCACATGCGCTGGCGCTCGCATGCCAGCACCCAGAAGGCAATGTGTCCCTCCTCCGCATATGCACGCACAATCCCCCATGCCCCCCACACCACTCCCACCCTTACCTGCACTGCACCTCACAGCTGATTTTCGGCTGGTTTGAGGCCTTTTTCGGCCTCCCAGTGGCTTGGAAAAAAACCTCTGCAGGCCGAATAGGCCCATTTTATCACTTCCTGTAATACCAGAAGTGATGGTATTACAGGAAGTGACAAAACGGGCCTATTTGGCCTGCAGAGGCTTTTTTCAAGCCTCTGAGAAGCCGAAAAAGGCCTCGAACCAGCTGAAAATCAGCTGTGAGGCACATGCATGATCAGTGAAGTAAGTTTGCCTCGGCTCGCATGCCGGCATAAATGGCTTATGCCATAGGTTTGCCTTCACGGCCCTATAGCATTTCAGAGAAATGACTGTCTAACTTCTTCTTAAAAAATTCAAGTGTTGGAGCACACACAACTTCTGGAGGCAAGCTGTTTTATTTATTATTTGTTCTCATTGGCAGGAATTTCTCCTTAGTTCTACATTGGTTTGCTCTTTGTTCAGTTTTGATCCATCACTTCTTGTCCTGCCCTCAGGTGCTTTGGAAAATATAGTAGTTTGTTCCCCTCTTCTTTGTGGCAGCCCCTCAAATGTTGGAAGGCTGCTATCGTGTCACCCTTAATCCTTCTCTTCATTAGACTAAGCATACCCAGTTCCCACAACCATTCATATGGTTCTAACTCAGTGGTCGCCAACCAGTGGGCCAGGGACCACTGATGGTCCACGAGAAAATGTTGGTGGTCCACAGAGAAATGTCACCCCCAAAGCAATTAATCCAGGCTGCACGGGAACACAAGGCTGTGCTGCCCACGTGGCCTGCGGGAACACAAGGCTTGCATTGCTTGCATTGTGAACAACACAAGGTAGTGAGGGGAATGGGGAAAAGGGGTGGGGGGGAACTTGCCCCACTCGCCCCATGCTCCTCTCCTGTTCACCTGTCTGCTTCTTTCTGCTTCTTTCTTCTTCTACTTTTGGCTGCATGCAAGGAAAACAGCAAAAGTCTTTCTTTCTCTCCCCCAAACTCTGCCAGAAATGAGTCTTTGGGACCCTGCAAGGCCTCTTGCTCCAAGAGGCTGCACCGACGTGACAAGTCTCACAAAGACTCATTTCTGGTGGAGTTTCAGCAGACTTCTGCTGCTTCTGCTGCTTTCCTTGCATGAAGCCAAAAGTCAGTCAGTCTCTCTCTCTCTCTCTCTCTCTCTCCCTGAGAACAGAGCTGGAGACGGTATCCTGAGATCCCAAATAAAGAATGATCGATCGGTAGGAAAACAGGGTGGGGAATTTTCCTGCAGACTTTTTTTGAGATTTTTCCAAGGTCTCTGGTCTGTGGGATTTAAAATTATGTGGTGGTCCCTGAGGTCCAAAAGGTTGGTGACCCTGTTTTTACTGTTCTGGAAATTTTTTCTTGGACAACCTTTTATCTGAAATAGTACAGCATTTTCTGCTTGAGCAGGGGATTGGACTGAGAACCTCTAAAGCTCCTTCTATATTTGTTCTTCAGTTATTCTGAGTTAGTTTACAGAGCTGAGAGAAATCTCGGGCTTGAGCAAACTTCACTAATCTCATATTTCTCATCTAAATTTTATAACACAATATCAACTGAAATGTAATCTTAAATCCCCAGGAAGGAAGGTTTGGCAAGTTCAGAAGTTTCAAAGCACTTTATCCAATGCATTTCAGAAACGACCAATCACAAGTGTGTTTTACCTTCTATAGAAGAATCAGCATTGATGTAGGCCACAGCCCGCTCTTGTAGTATTTTGACATTTTCCTACAATGGAAAACTAATTCAGATTAGGGGCACAAATATTTATTTATGGACTACTTTTCACATACAGGTTGTCCTCAACTTACAACAGTTCATTTAGTGACCAAATTACGATGGCAATGAAAAAATGATTTATAACCATTTTTCACTCTTATGACCATTGAATCATCCCCAGGGTCACGTGATCAAAATAAAGATGCTTAGCAACTGACTCGTATTTATGACAATTGCAGTGTCCCAGGGTCACGTGTCCACCTATTGCAACCTTCTGAAAAGCAAAAGCAATAAGGAAGCCAGATTCACTTAACAACCATGTTACTAAATGAACAACTGCAGATTCACTTAACAACTTAACAGATTCACTGCAGATTCACTTAGCAAGAAAAGTCATAAAGTGGGGAAAAACTCACCTAACAACTGTCTCACTTAGTAACATGAATTTTGGGCTCAGTTGTGGTTGTAAGTTGAAGGACTATCTGTATAGCAGAGGTCTTCAAACTTTGCAACTTTAAGACTTGTGGACTTCTACTCCCAGAATTCTCCAGCCAGCATAGCTTTGCTCTTTTAAATGATCCATCACAAAACTAACTCACTCAGGTGACACTCAATTTATACTAACCTCCATAATTATCCTGAATTTTAAAGTTTGATTTTTTTCTCTTATTTGTATTAGTTATAAATCATTTTTATCATTTGTATTAGTTATAACCCTCTCGGGGTCCTCAAAATCAAAACCATTTGCATGATATTGAAGATATTTGCAAAAAATTAAAACAATGACACTAGTTTAAAAAAAAGTACAGGATTATTTTCATGAAAAATAATTTACGTTAATACACATAATCAACCTTGTTGACTTACCTCTGCCCATTCTGTTGATCCCATTAAGCCAAACTCCTCAGCATCCCAACTAGCAAAAATTACTGTCCTCCTGGGTCGCCAACCTACATTTATAATATTTAAAGCACCATTAGTTTAATAGTCAAAAATTATTCATCAGAGAGTGAAGCCAGCCCAAATGACAATATTCTGTACCCCGCTTCCTCTGGTTTAAATTCTCATTTGTTTTCAGCAGTTTATGAATAACAAGCAGGCCCTTAAAAGTGGGATATAGAGGGGTAGTCCCAGTTGACATCATGCTAAAACAAAATAAAACAAAAATCAAATATGTAAACTGTACCCAAATAACCACATGACCCCAGCAACACCAGCAGGGCAAACTACTGTATATAGACAGTGAGCAAACCCCATATTTACCAGCACTGATGATGTTATCTAGCTGGGTAATGAAATGGCTGTCAGAAAACAAGCAACTCAATCAGCACCAAGGACTCCATATAGTTCAATCCTGAGCTACACAAAATCTCTTCCAGAGGTGGTATTCAGCAGGTTCTAACCAGTTCTGGAGAACCGGTAGCAGAAATTTGGGGTAGTTCAGAGAACCAGCAAATACCACCTCTGACTGGCCCTGTCCCAATCTCTTCTCTGCCTCCCGAGTCCCAGCTGATCGGCTGGGTCTTTTTTTGTTGCCCTGCACAGGAGAACGGAGCTGGAAAGCAGGTTAGTGGGGTGGGGAGGGAATGGGGATTTTGCAGTAACCTTCCCCCAGGAGTGGGGAGGGAATGGAGATTTTGTAGTATCCTTCCCCTGCCATGCCCACCAAGCCACTCCCACCAAGCCACACCCACAGAACCAATAATAAATTTTTTTTTGAATCCTACCACTTATCTCTTCCATTGGAACCAGAAAAGTGTCTATGGACTAACCTTTAGATTGATGTTCATTGGATTGATTTCATTTTTATGTTTCCTTTTTTGTCTTTGCTTTCTTAGGTTACTATTCCTGCAGCACAATGCATTCTGGAACAGTTATTCCGCATGGGTCGCTTGGTATAGAATGTTTGCTTTCAGAAGCTGTGAAGTTATATTATGCCAAATACGTATGGCAACGAAGGCAATTGAGAAAGCTTTGCATCAGAATGATAATAGTAATGTTGATGATACAAACCTTTCCAACATCTTATTTTTTTTCTGTATCGGAGCTGCACCCCTCAAAAACTGCTCTTCTACCTTTGTTTAGATTCCTGTTTTAAATTGCTGCGTAGTTGCATTATTTAGCAGTAGCGCTTGGACTTACATAAGCAGCGGTGCAGTGGCCTAGAGTTGGAGCTCTCGCCTCACAATCAGGAGGCTGTTTGTTTGATCCTAGGTAGAGGCAGATATTTTTCTCTCTGGGCACAATGAGAATATATATATGCTGAACAAAACTCCACATTGGTGACAGGAAGGGCATCTGGCCAGTAAACACTCTGCTAGCTCAATTCAGTTGCCCAGTCTCCACCCCGCAAGGGATTATGGGATTGTTAAATGAAGATGATGATGACTTAGACATATACCCTTTGTGGTGCTTTTACAGAAGTTTACAGCGTCAGCCTATTGCCCCCGACAATCTGGGTCCTCATTTTATTGACCTCGGGAGGATGGAAGGCTGATGAGAATCGAACTGCTGAACTGCTGGCAGCCTGCAATCAACAGAGGTAGCCTGCAGTATTGCATCTCAACCACCGCACCACCATGGCTCTTTAGATGCATTGTTTGAGATAACTTAAAATGTTTGACAGAAGGCAAGGCATGTGTTTACAGACAACCCACGCAAAACCTTCCCATTTTTCTCTTGGTTAGTTCTCAACTTCAGCAGCTTCAAGATGTTTGGCCTTACCTTCCTGTTTCAGCTTCCCAAAACTTCGGATGACCTCATGAACAACCGCAGCTCCACTTTGGGGATCAATCCCACCAAACACCCATGAATCACGGTGGCCACCCAAAATGACGTATCTATCTGGATCAAAAGGGATGGAAAAGCTTCACTTTATGATAATGAAGTTGGTAAACTCCAAAGGTGTTTTTTTCAGGAGGCAACTGGACTTTCTTGTTGTTGTTGTTTTAAATTTGAAGATGTTTCACTTCTCATCCAAGAAGCTTCTTCAGCTCTGACAGGATGATTGGGACTGGAAGGATTTATATTCCTTGCAGACAGCTGGTCATTTGCATTCTTTTAGAGGGTCGTTGAAGCACTTGGAGGTTGCTTCCAAAGACTTGGAACTTCCAAGTGCTTCAATGACCCTCTAAATGGATGCAAATGACCAGCTTTCTGCAAGGAATATAAATCCTTCCATTTACCACTCTCCTGTCAGAGCTGAAGAAGCTTCTTGGATGAGAAGCGAAACGTCTTCAAAGTAAAAACAAGAGAGTCTGGTTACCTTTTGAAAAAGCACCTTTGAGACAACCATGACCTGGATGGTCGGCACGTTGTGCAACAAGGTCACATAGTGTAATAAGATTGGGTTAGGGACTTCTGTCCTCACTGTGAGTTGTGTTGGGGGGGGGAGGTGCATGAAGGAAGGCTCAGGCAATCTCATTGTACACATGTTGTACTCTGACAATAAAGGTCATAGCAATGACTGAGAATCTCTACAGAAGTTGGTAAATGTTCACCAAAAGTGGCCTGAAAAAAGGTAGGCGCAGGGTCACCATGAATCCTATCTTTTATTATTTTAGAGCTTTAAAAATGACACTTAAAATGAGAAATTGATACCCTTGAGTAGGATTGTCTTAATTTACAGGAACACTTCTGGAGTCCAGTTCTATTCCCATGCATGCCCTGGAGGCATCCATCAGCAAGGACTAGGCTTTGAATGCTGTCCATGCTAAGGACAAATTTGGGGTGCCCTAGAGTTGATCTTAGAACACAGAATAATAGGGTTGGAAGGGACCTTAGGGTCTTCTAGTGCAACTCTCAGTTCAAGCAGGAAACCCTGTATCATTCCAGACAAATAGCCTGTTGACTCTCTTCTTGAAACCCTCCAGTGATGGAGCAACCACAACTTCTGGAGGTAAGCTGTCCCACTGACTAATTGTGTTCCCTTTGTTAGGAACTTTCTCCTTAGTTCTAGGTTGGTTTTTTCCTTAATTAGTTTCCATCCATTGCTTCTTGTCCTGCCCTCAGGTGCTGTGGAGAATAGGTTGACTCCCTCTTCTCTGTAACAGCTCTTCAAATACTATCAAGTATAGTATTAGAATCATTAGGACTGCAGAAAAAAACAATGGCTACCAACCTGCCTTTCAATGAGGACCTGTATACTGCATGAGCCAAAAAGAGGGCTGTGAAAATATTTACAGATCCCCCACATCCTGGACATAAACTGTTTCAACTCCTTTCCTTAAAATGACGTTACAGAGCACTGCACGCCAGAACAACTAGACACAAGGACAGTTTTTCCCCAAATGCCATCACTCTGCTAAACAAATAATTCCCTCCGCACTGTCAAACTATTTACTAAATTTGCATTACTGTTATTATCAATCCCCTCATTGTTCCTATCACCCATCTCCTCCCACTTGTGACTATATTACTATAACTTTGCTGCTTGTATCCTTACGATTTATATTGACTGTTTCCTAGTATGATTTGATTGCTTATTTGTACCCTATGACTATTTTAAGTGCTGTACCTTATGATTCTTGACAAATGTATCTTTTCTTTTTATGTATACTGAGAGCATTTGCACCAAGACAAATTCCTTGTGTGTCTAATCACACTTGGCTAATCATTCATTCATTCATTCATTCATTCATTCATTATTCATCCATCCATCCATCCATCCATCCATGTATTCATGTATGACAACCCTAGTCTTTCTTTTCATTTGATCAGTTCCTGGAACCGTTCTTTGAAAATGTATTATAAAGCAAAGCCAAATCTTACAAACCTATGTGGAAGATAGACTTTACCTGGCTCTGTTGCTCCTCGGAGAATTCCAATCACATTGTAAATCCGTCTCACTTGTTTGAAGCTGTAGATGTGCATTCTTATTTTTCTAGTGCAATTAAAGGGGGAAAAAAGAATTAGTGTTACCCTCAGGCTAAAGATCCTTAAAAGTGAAACAGCTGGATTCTGAAAAAGAGCAGGGCTTACATACTGCACTACACTTCATTGTACCACACATAGGCATACAACCCAGTACGATGCCCTAACGCTGCTATTATAGGGACGCAGCGGCTCAGTGGCTAAGATGCTGAGCTTGTCGAGCAAAAAGGTCGGCAGTTCGGCTGTTTGAAACCCTGACGCCGCGTAATGGAGTGAGCTCCCGTTACTTATCCCAACTTCTGCCAACCTAGCAGTTCGAAAGCATGCAAAAATGCAAGTAGAAAAATAGGGACCACTTTGGTGGGAAGGTAATAGCATTCTCTGTGCCTCCAGCATTGAGTCATGCCGGTCACATGACCGTGGAGACGTCTTCGGACAGCGCTGGCTCTTCGGCTTTGTAATGGAGATGAGCAACGCCCCCTAGAGCCGGAAATGACTAGCACGTATGTACGAGGGGAACCCTTTACCTTTTAATGCTGCTGGTTTTCCCCCCCTGAAGGCAGCACCTGATGAAAGTCCTTCAGGAAGATTCCCAGTGAAAACCAGGCCATGCACTTTCATTTCATTCAAGTTTTGAGGCTGGGGGAAGTCATAATTCAAATGGACACTAAGCGAGGGTTACCTGTAGGACCCCAAGCAGCTGCTTCATTTCATTTTGAAGGGACATCATCATAGACTCAGTAAAATTAGTTTAACTTGCTATTTCGCTTCTGTAAGAATTGCTTTGCAGTTCTTACAGTAAGGATTAGAATGTGCCTCTGCCGTTTGCTTCTACCAGTGATCTAACTCGTACTATCTTGGGGTTTGTTTGTTTTTTGTACAACTTGGTGCCTGGTGCCATGTATATCATGGCCTGGCAGGGTTACATTGGGCAAATATCTGTATTGCAGTGGTGGGATCCAACATTTTTTTTTTACTACTGGTTCTGTGGGTGTGGCTTGGTGGGCAGGACAGGAGAAGGACACTGCAAAATCCCCATTCCTTTCCCACCCAACTAACCTGCTTTTCAGCTCTGTTCTCCTGTGCAGGCAATACAAGAAAACCCAGCCAATCAGCTGGGACTCAGGAGGCAGAGAATAGATGAGGGTGGGGCCAGTCAGAGGTGGTATTTGCCGGTTCTCCAAACTATGCAAAATTTCCACTCCTGGTTCTCCAGAACTGGTCAGAACCTGCTGAATACCCTCTCTGCTGTGTTGCTAAGCCCCCAGCCCCCGCTGTTCCTTACTGCTCAGCCAATGCAGGGCTATAAGGAAGGCAGGGGCCAATTGGGTACTAAGCTGATGTGTCTTAAGGTATAAAAGGTTGCCACACTTTCCCCAAGGTGCGGTTTTTCCATTGCATGCTTGCTGCCTGTATGCTGTGGGAAATTGTCTACCCAGCGATTTTGTTTTGCAAAATAAAAGCCGTTACTTTTCCCAACCTTCTTCTTGGGTCTGTTTCTTCAGCATTCTGGGGACTCAAGTACATTTTGGGACCTTACATTTTCATGAGAGACAGAGTCTGTCGACTAGCAGTCCTCAGTTACCACCTGACCAATCCCATTCTAAAAGAGAACATGTTTTTTTTTTCTTCCCCGTCCTTTTATTTTATTTATTATTTACTTCTTAACAAGTTTTACCAAAGTTTCTGGGAAACTTGTCCTCACCTTTTTGAAGAAGTTCCCGTAAACCCAGGTCCCACGTTATATGGCACGGAAAGCTGCCCCTTCCAACTGTCATCAGGTGCAGGAGCGCCTCCCATTTCCCTGTTGGAAGTGAGAAAAATGACAACCCTCTTATTTCAGAAAATAGGTTGACTTGGAAGAAAAAGAAAAAGTATTGTTTCACTTTCCAAGAAAAGAAAATATATATTTTTTGACAAGGATGCTTAATTTGAAATGGGGAGGAGATTTTTAACTCTCATCCCCTTAATGCTTCAGATAGATATAGATAGATAGATAGATAGATAGATAGATAGATAGATAGATAGATAGATAGATAGATAGATAGATAGATAGATATAGAGAAGTCTAATATTGCTGTCATGCCCCTGACGGAATCTGATTCGGAGGGGGAGACTGAGCAGCTGACAGGGAGTCAGAGTGTGGCTCTGTTGGTTGTGGAAGAAACTGGGGAAGGGAAAAGACTGGCTGGGCAGAGCAGGGGAGAGGTAGAGCAAGGCAGAGGGAATTCAGAGGAAGACCCAGGCCCACCCCCTCTTCATCTTAGGGCACACAGGGAGGAATGGAGAAGGGAGCAACATGAGTTGTGTGGCTTATGGAGGAGGAAAGGGCCCTGATTCCCTTCATTAGCTGCAGCTGGCAGCACAGTGTTTAAAAAGGGAAGCTGTGCACAGCAAGTTGTTGGGAACAAATTGTGAATTATGCGGTATCGTCAAGACTTATCTGTGTTCCTGGTATCTTTCCAACTGTGTGTGTTTTGTTGTGCTTTCAAGTCTGCAATTTCTTCTCCTGCCCTGTCAAGTTAATTACTGCAGCGTGGTTTGTTTGGATTTTTTTAGTTACAGTCTGTATGTATTTTGTTTTCGGGCTGAATTTCCTCCAGTTAAAGACTGTTCCTGGGAGAGTTTTTCTCCAGCCAAAGGTTATCTGGACATTGAGGGCAAAGTTGGAGATAATAAAGGGACTCTTCTTGCTTATTTGACTGTGTTGCCTTTGTGCCACACCCCAGGTCATCACAATTGCTTAGAAGAATTGCAATAACAAGGTAGGAGAATGAATGAATGAATGAATGAATGAATGAATGAATGAATGGTGTCAACTTGTAAAGCATTCCTGGTCTGCTCTCGAGTTGCCATAGGCCAGAGTGGGGAAATCTGATGGAGCAGCAGCACGTTCCACGCATACTTTCTTCAAGGCTGTATCCCAGGCTACCGGGACCAACAAGAAAGGCATAATTTCTACAGCCCCATGAAAGTGCTGCATTGGAGAATGTGATTTATGACACACCCTGGGGTGTGTGGGGAAACAGGGTCATAGGTGGACTGTAAATTAGGTCGGGCAGAGCTGACTTCATTTGGGTATGTGCTGACATGTTGCTCGTAATAACTAGATTTCTTTTGAAATTTGGCTCAAGGCTCATGGTTTAATTAGGGCATCCGTGGGAACCCTGATAGAATGAATGAATCAATCAGTCAATCAATCAATCAATCAATCAATATATTTATATGTATACTGTATACACACATATAAATAAGGATAAGGCTGAAGAAAGCCAGGTCCTTATACAGCGTGTTCTTCTGATTTCTCTCTTTCATAAGCAGGTGTTGCAAAATTAAGGTTCACTGTGATGCAGAGAGTTTTCATCGCATAGGATCTATTGCTGCCTGCCTTTCTTTTCTCTCTACATCCTACACAGTAGTAGTACAAGTCCTACCTCAACTTATGGCTGGTCGCATAGTGACAGTTTGAATTTACAACCAAGTCCCCCAGCCTACTGACCGAGAGTGATATAAGGATCGCATCATTAGGACTTACTTTAAGAGCTTCTCAGCATCATGATAACCAATGGGGTGGACAGGAATATTTAAGTTTGCTGCACTTTGAGCTTCCTTCAAGCGATAGGCATATTCTAGAGTAAGAAAGGCACCAATTACCGTACTATATCCCGAGGACAATTCAGGAGGCTGATTGTCACCTTTGAAACCATACTTAGTCGAAGGCCTGGATAACCATAAGGTCATCTTTTCTTTGCCTCCCAATCAGCGGTGGTATGTTGCTGGTTTGCATCGGTTCTAGCGACCCGGTAGCGCTGGTGAGCAGTTGGTCCAGTCCCCCTGCCCTTTTCTGTCCTTTATTTCCTTTGTTTGTAGCTTAGCTGATAGGCGAGGCAAAGCACGCGCCCACAGAACCAGTAGTAAAATATTTTTAATTCCACTGTGCTCCCAATAAGCACACGCTCACTGAATCGGTTGTTACGCCAATAGGATCCCACCCCGATTCATCCCCTCAGAGGCCTCTACTCTGGTCACCTTTAGCTGGATATCCTGGAGTGAGAGGATCTCCAGCACCATCCAGAAGGAGGACATTGCCACGTTGGGCTCCACTTCCTGGCAGATTCCAGCCATCTGGGTAAGGCTGAACTCCAGGAGCACAAGAATCAGCAGGGTCCGAGTATAAAATGAGGCCTTTGGCTCCAGCCAGGTAAGCATTCTTCACCTAGGAATAAACAGGATTGGTAAACTATAAAACTATATATCCACATAGCTTTAAAAAAAAATCCACAGTTTGACTAGTAGAATAGCAATAGCACTTAGATCTATACACTGTTTCACAGTGCTTTACGGCCCTCTCTAAGCAGTTTACAGAGTCAGCCTATTGCCCTATAACAATCTGGCTCCTCATTTTAACCCGTCTCTGAAGGATGGAAGGTTGAGTCAACCTTGAGCCTGGTGAGATTCGGACTGCCAAATTGGAGGCAGCCGGCAGTCAGCAGAAGTAGCCTGCAGTACTGAGCTCTAACCACTGTGCCACCACGGCTCTTATGTTATACAATAGAACCGAATAACAGAACAGAATAACAGAGTTGGAAGGGACCTCAGAGGTCTTCTAGACTGACTCCCGGCTCATGCAGGAAAGCCTCCACCATTGTGGACAAATGATTGTCCAGTCTCTTCTTTAAAACTTCCAGCGTTGGAAGTTCAACTTCTGGAAGCAACCATTGATTAATTGTTCTATCATGAAGTTTCTCCTCAATTCCAGGTTGCTTCTCTCCTTGATTAATTTCCATCCTTCGCTTCTTGTCTTTCCCTCAGGGGCTTTGGAGAATAGCTTGACTCCCTCTTCTTTGGGGCAGCCCCTGAGATACGGGAATACTGCTATCCTGTCACCCCTAGTCCTTCTTTTCATTAGATTAGACTTAACTAATTCTTGCAACTGTTTTTCATATGTTTTAGCCTCCAGTCCCCTAGTCATTTTTCGGTTTCTTACAAGCATTCCCCTGAAAAGCAAAGCTCACAATCTCTTACCTTATTTCCTCTGAAGATCTTCCCATATCTGACAATGACAATTTTCCCGGAACAATTAATTCCCATGTCTCGCTCTAATCTGTGGAAATCCTCTATCCTGCCATAATTCACATACACCAAATCTCCCTGGAATACAAACGGTGTATCAACGACACAAACACATGACGTTGGGAAGTTGCAAAGTGCTTCCACTCAGCCGAGCTTTCCTTCATTTTGTTCGTCTGTTTTAAATTTCAGTAAAAGTTTATACCTTTGAGCAATTGTACATTCATCATTGGAACGCAATTCTGTTTCCAAACTCAGCCTTCTGTTTAAAAGGGATTCTTGCCCAAACCTTCACAGCTTTAGGATGTCTCTTGGGGGCATCCATGCCTGGTCCAGTTATTTCACAGACGACTTCTCGGTTAGCACTTGCCCAATAGAGCTGCTGCATCTTCTTAAGGCAGAGGGAGTGTGGTGGCCTATACAGGGGCGGGCAAGGGATTCTCTGTCCGGTTGCTGGGTGGGTGTGGCCATGGATGTGGATGTGGCCTAGTCAGCCTCCTGCACCATGGCAGGGGAGGCATTTTTGCCCTCCCTGGGCTCCAGAGGCTCTCTGGAAGCCGGAAACGGGCCCATTTCCGGCCTTCCCAAACTTCTGGGTGGCCTGTTTGTTGCCCTCTCTAAGCCCTGCATTTATTTGCATCCAAAACAGGCCACGTGGGGAGGGATGGGGCAGGGTGGGGCAGGGTGGGTGGGGCCAAGCGGGAGTGGGATTAGAGGGTTCTCCAATCTGTGTAGAATTTTAGTTAGGGGTTTTCCCAAATCCCTGTGAACCCCGAGCAGCCCACCCCTGAGCTTATGTGGTTAGGATGCTGGGCTAACAATCGGCGGACTAGTGTTCAAGTCCCAGTTGCTGCTGCGCGACAGGGTAAACTCCCGTCACTTGCTCCAGCTCCTGCCAATCCAGCAGGGCAACTGTGAGTAAACAGACGGGTACTTCTTTGTTGGGCAATTGAATAGGGTCATGAAAGGATTCCTCATCTGGGAGTCCCCCAAGCAGTGGTGATGTCACAGATTAATCCTTTCAACCAGGAAGCAATTCAGTGCTCCTGACACAACTGTAGCTGTATCTTCCTATGTCTTAGATCAGAGGTCTCCAAACTTGGCAAGTTTAAGACTTTTGGACTTCAACTCCCAGAATTCTTGAGCTAACATGACTGGAGGAGGAATTCTGGGAGTTGAAGTCCACAAGCCTTAAATCTGCCAAGTTTGAAGACCCCTGTCTTAGAGCCTTGCCAGGTCTGAATGCAGACCCAATGCCTTCCAACTTCAATCCTTACCTCTGGCTCACCTCTGGCTGAGAAAGCACTATAGGGTGGAACAATGTCTTCAATGGTCTCATATCCTGCAGGAACAGGCTCAGAGAGTGATGTGTTGAAAATCTAGATAGTAAAGAAGTCACAAAGGTGGGGAGGGAATGGCATATAAAAGCAACATTTGATGTATCCAACTTGGGTGTGGGTTGAGGGAGGGGATGGAAATTCATTTAAGAAACAGATGAGGGCATTTGCAAAGGGCCCATCAAAATGAAGCCAATTTAGCTAAACTCTGGAAACAATGGCTGTGTTTGTCTACCATACAAGGAGTCTGTGTGATAGTTTAGTGCACTGGTGGCTAACCTTTTTGGGCTCCTGTGCCAAAAACTGTGTGCACATTTGCATGCTTGCACTCGTGTACCAGCACCCAGAAGGCAATGCATGCCCTCTCACACCCCTACACATGTGCGCACAATCCCCACCCACCCCCACTGCCCCTTTACCTGCACTGAGCCTCACAGCTGATTTTGGCCAATTTGAGGCCTTTTTTGGCCTCCCAGAGGCTTGAGGAAGTCTTCTGCAGGCTTCTGCAGGATTTTCAGGTCAAAAACTAGGCCCGTTTCATCACTTTTGGTAAAACAGGAAGTGACAAAACAGGCCTAGTTTTTGTCCTGAAAAGCCTGCAGAAGCCTTCCTCCGGGAGGCCGAAAAAGGCCTCAAGCCAGCCGAAAATCAGCTATGAGGTGCGCGCATGCGCAGTGAGGTAAGTTTGCCTACAGCTTGCATGCCGGCACAAATGGCTCTGCGTGCCACCTGTGTCACGTGTGCCATAGGTTCGCCATCACGGACTTAGTGTAATCGATAAAATTCAATTTGACACTCCTGGCCTAGTGTATCAGGTTGTGAAACCTATTCTGTACACATAATACAGCCCCTCTCCTTTACCTCTTGGCCATGCTCATCAATGAGTGCGATATAATTAGGACTCGTCTCATTGGGGTAAGAAAGCAGAACGTCATAAGGAGCCAGATGGACCGAATCTAGGCCAAATGCCTTCCAGTTTGCTTGTATCTGTTCAGCTAGATGCAAATTCTCCTGTGTGCCGGCCAAGTGAGGTTGCTGGGTGAAATTGCTAGAAGAAAGAACACGGTGTAATTGGCTTAATAGTAGAAAACATACATTTCTTTATCTTTGGGCAGATGGTTATACTTTTATTCATTTATTTATTTATCTTTACTTAGCTGAAAACTTTTACAGATCTTCCCACCTTGAATGCGTAACTCTGGGCAGTCAACAATACAGGTAGTCCTAGACTTACAACCACAGCCGAGCCCAAAATTTCTGTTGTTAAGTGAGACATTACTTAAATGCCATTTTGCCCCATATCACGACCTTTCTTGCCACAGTTGTTAAGGGAATCACCGCAGTTGATAAGTTAGAACCTGGCTAAGTGTTAAGTGAATCTGGCTTCCCCATGGCCTTTGCTTGTCTGAAGGCTGCAAAAATTGATCACATGACCTTGATCAATGGTCATAAGTATGAACCAGTTGGCAAGCGTCTGAACTCTGATCACATGATCATGGGGATGCTGCAAAGGTCATAACTGTGAAAAGAGGGCATAAGTGGCTTTTTTCAGTTCCATAAAGCCTACAGCTATATTGGACTCCTCTAATAGCCCAAAAATTAAAACTAAGGGACAAAGTCAAAAGGATTAGGACCATCCAAAACTTATTGGTGGAAGGAAGCTGTTCCATAGAGCAGTTACTATGACAGAGAAAGCACATCTCGTACTCTTACAAGAGGGTAATGTTTAATAAAGGAAATCTGGAGATAATTTGGTGAGATGGGCAGAAACCCTTAGAGGTAGCTCCACAAATAACCTTCGATTGTACCCAGAATCATTAGTGGAAGCCAAAAGCAATAGCACTTAGACTTATATAGCACTTCGCGGTGCTTTTATAGCCCTTTCTAAGCGATTCACAGAGTCAGCACATTGCCCACAACAATCTGGGTCCTCATTTTACTGACCTTGGAAAGATGGAAGGCTGAGTCAACCTTGAGCTAGTTAGGATCGAACTGCCAAATTGGAGGCAGCAGAAGTAGCCTGCAATACCGCGTTCTAACCACTGCACCACCCCGGCTCGTTGCAATTCATGTACTGTCTTTCCCTGAAAATACAACCTACCTCGAAAGTAAGTCCTAGCTTGAGTTTTACCTGTGGTCCCACTATAAGCCCTACCCCCCCTCAAAATAAGCCCTAATTAAGACCCCTCCCCCTCTAGGATGCAAGGGTAAAAATTAAGCTTGGAGCTACCCTAGTACTTACCTTCGGACAGTTGCAGCCAGGCCTCATGCACACCTGCCTTGCCATCCTATTTCTTCTGTAGCCAGCAAGGCTTTCCCGAAGGCTTCTGCAGATGATAACAGAGCTCCGGATCAATCCGGAATTTTATTATCGGCTGCCGAGGCCTTCAGAAAAGCTTTGCCAGCCACAGAAGAAATTCCTGAAGGACTCTGACAGCGAGAAGGATGCCAGAGGTGATGCGCCCAAGTGAGGTGAATCAGTGGATGACATCCCCCCAAAATAAGACCTTGTGCTTTCTTTGGCAGCAAAAAAAATACAAGACAGGGTCTTATTTTCGGGAAAACATGGGTAGTAGTGATGTTTGCACAGGCCCAAGACTGCTGCACCACCATATTCTGCCCCAGTTGAAGCTCAGTTTTGGCCACCACACTATAAAAAAGATGTTGAGACTCTAGAAAAAGTACAGAGAAGAACCACCAGGGTGATTAGGGGACTGGAGACTAAAATATATGAAGAATGGCTACAGGAATTGGGCATGGCTAGTTAGTGAAGAGAAGGACCATGGGAGACATGGGTAACAGTCTTCCAATATTTGAGGGGCTGCCACAGAGAGGAGGGGATCAAGCTATTTTCTAAAGCACCTGAAGGCCAGACAAGGAATAATGGAAACTGAACAAGGAGAGATTTAACCTGGAAATAAGGAGAAACTTTCTGACAGTGAGAACAATCAAACAATGGAACAGAAATTGCCTTCGGAAGTTGTGGGAGCGCCATCACTTGAGACTTTCAAGAAGAGATTGGACTCCCATCTGTCAGAAATGGTGTAGGGTCTCCCGCTTGGGCAGGGGGTTGGACTAGAGGACCTTCAAGGTCCCTTCCAACTCTGATTATCTGTTACCTGTTATCAAAAGCTTCTCTGTGTTCTTCAAGGGCAGCCCTATAAAGCGTTTTATTGCAGTAATCCAAATAGTATGCTTTTAGATGGGCCGGGGGCGGGGGGGTGGGGCAGTATGCAGAACAGATTTTTACTCTTTGGCATGTGGGAGAATAAATGAAATTCTCAGTGAGCAGTTTGACAATCATCAGGCAGTAACACACACGGGGCTGTGATGCTTCTTTGGTGGTTTAATCTATTTATGGATGGCTGTATAAAGGATGTTTCTGGGGATAATAGATGTACGTGGGTTGGAGGTGTCAAGTTATGCAGAGGATGTGTTGTTGGCTCAGAATCGAGTGACTGAGTTGTGTCACTCAGATTTGTCTTTTGTGTTCAGCGCTGGATGTGCTGGGATAGGCCTCAAAAATGCCTTCGGGTGTGTTTTCTTGACATTATCCTGCGTGGATGGAAACAAGACAGAAGATGGTGTACACCAGTAGTGGTATGCTACCAGTTCGGCCTGGTTCAGGTGAACCGGTAGTAAAAATTCAGTGGAACCGGTAGTAAAAAAAGCCCCCGATCAGGTGAGAGGAGGGGAAAAAAAGTCTCCCACAATCAGCTGAGAAGATAAAAGGCCGAAAAGTGCATGGATGAGATGAGGTGGAGTCACTCCTAGCTTTTCGTTTCTTCATCCTCTCAGCTGATTGGCTTGTTAGGGGCGCGCGCAGTAGGGGCGCGTGCGCACATGCGATCATCCATCGAACCAGTAGCGACTAAAGTAGGATCCCACTAATGGTGTACAGCCCTTGCTATGTGTATAATTTAACTTTCAACTGTGAAAAATCTATTACCTCTTCAGTCTGGGGACAAGTTCAGACATTCATTTAAAACCCATGCACATACACACGTACATTGGCATGTGCCGAAAAATAAAATGGAGCAAAGAAGCAGAACAAAGATGCCACAGATGCTTTTGAAAGCTCCATAACTCATTTTAAAAGGCTCTATACCAGGAGTTAGCAACACATGGCTCTAGAGCCGCATGTGGCTCTTTCAACCCTCTGCTGTGGCTCCCCTGTTGCTCAAAATATGTCTCAACTGCCCATGTGTGACACCTGTCAGCGCACAATTTATTGAGCTTTTCAACCTCTGATAGGCCAACCATGGGTAAATCCAAGAAAAGAAAAATTTCAGAAGAAAACAGAATGTTTAATTCAACTACACATGCTAGTTTTGTGGCCGCTCAGGAAATAGTCAGGCATGGGAAGGGCTTTGGGGCTCCTGGTGTGTTTTTTTTTTCTGTGGGAAACGAGTTCAAATGACTCTTTGCGTGTTTAAGGTGGCCAACCCCTGCTCTATACTTTCTGCAAAGGAAAAGAAAGATGAAAAGAGCAGAAGGAGAGAGGAAGAATGAATGAATGAGGGAGGGAGGGAGAGAGGAAAGGAGGAAGGAAGGAAGGAAGGAAGGAAGGAAGGAAGGAAGGAAGGAAGGCAGGCAGGCAGGCAGGCAGGCAGGCAGCCTTGAGATGGAGCAATTTGCACAACCAAATTTTGAAGTTGGGAAGCTGACTCTCATACATTGGTTTCCAACCTGCTCCCTTCCAGCTCTGTCTTCTAGAGATTCCTATCATCCGAGCACAAGGCTGAGAAAGATGTATGTGCCTGTCTGTGTGTTTGTTTGTTTGTGTACGTTAAAATCACTATTTATCTCATTGCGATATAATTCCAAAACCTTTGCAAAGGCTGGCATACAGTCCTGTTTAGCTTACTAAAGAAATTGCTTGATGCTTTCTGCTTTCATTTCCTTCATGAAGGCCTCCATCCTCTTCTTGTGGACATCTGTCCTCGGCAACTGATGGGCATGTTTATTGGCCAGCCAACCTGAAAGTCAGATCAAACCGATTTCTATGACATGAAAAGCCTAGAGGTAAAATGTCACGTGTCCCAAATTGTACCATTCAAGAGTCACCTTCTCACTAGCAAAGCAGAGGTGGCGCTCAGCAGGTTCTGACCAGTTCTGGAGAACCGGTAGCGGAAATTTTGAGCAGTTCAGAGAACCGGCAAATACCACCTCTGACTGGCCCTGCCCACATCTATTCTCTGCATCCCAAGTCCCAGCTGATTGGCTGGGTCTCCTTTTGTTGCCCTGCACAGGAGAACAGAGCTGGAAAGCAGGTTAGTGGGGTGGGGAAGGAATGGGATTTTGCAGTAACCTTTCCCCTGCCATGCCCACCAAGCCATGCCACACCCACCAAGCCACAACTTGCTCACCAAGCCACACAACACCCACCAAGCCATGCCCACAGAACCAGTAGTAAAAAAAAAATGGAATTCCACCACTGTAGCAGAGGTACACCAGTTGTGTCAACGCAATTAATTTGTGTGTGGCATAAGCTCATACTCATCATTTTCTTCATGATCCATAAACTGCAGCACAGCTAGTCCTCAACTTAGGACCACCATTGAGCCTCAAAATTTCGGTTGCTAAGTGGCACAGTTGAGTTTTGCCTCATTTTACGTCCTTTCTTGCCACCACTGTTCAGGGAATTCACGGCAGTTCTTAATCCGGTTTCCCCGTTGACTGTGCTGGTCAGAAGGGATCGCAAAAAGGGATTGCATGACCCCACCCACAAGACACTGCCGCCATCGTAAATATGAGTCAATTGCCAAGCATCTGAATTTGGATCACGTGACCCGTTGTTGCTGCAATGGTCACAAGTGTGCAAAAATGTTCATAAGGGACTTTTTCAGTGCCATTGTAACTTTGAGGGCTAAACAAAATGTTGTAAATCAAGTACTACATATAATCAATTGGTACGATTGTACACAACAGTCTAAGCTCGGGGTGTCAAACTTGATTTCGTTGCATGGCCAGGGTGGACGTGGTCAGCTCAACATCATTCCTGTCAGGGGGGCACCTGTGGTGGCCAAGTGCTAAGGCAGGATTTCTCTCAGACCCTCCTCCCCCTCTCATTATAATCTTCCTTCCTTCCTTCCTTCCTTCCTTCCTTCCTTCCTTCCTTCCTTCCTTCCTTCCTTCCTTCCTTCCTGATTGCCTTCCTTCCTTCCTTCCTTCCTTCCTTCTTGCCTTCCTTCCTTTATTTTTCCTTCTCCCTTCCTTCTCCTTTCTTCTTCCTTCCCTTCTTTCCTTCTTTTTCCTTCCTTGCTCTTTCCCTTCGTTCCTTCTTTTTCCTTCCTTGCTCTCTTCCCATCCTTCCTTCTTTTTCTTTGTCTTTCCTCTTTCCCTTTCTCCTTTCCTATCCCTTCTTGGATGCTCAAATGCAAAAGGGGAAACATTTCTCCTTTTGTTTTGTTTTTGTTTTGACAGCTCTCTGCCAGTGAAAATGGAGCCGGGGGGCGCACACAGCCCCACAAGCTCCATTTTCTCTGGCAGAGGCACCGCAGGGTGGTCCTTCACTGTTTCCAAGGCAGCCCTGCAGGCCAGATTTAAGCACCCCATGGGCTGGATATGGCCTGCGGGCCTTAAGTTTGACATCCCTAGATTAGGCCATTGGGATGACCCAGGGCATGGCGCAAAGGCAACACAGTCACATAAGTAAGAAAAGTCCCTTTAGTACCTCCCGCTTAGCCTCCAATGTCCAGGTTACCTTCGGCTGGAGAAAAAAACTCTCCCAAGAACAGTCTTTAAGTGGGAGGAAATTCAGTCCAAAAACAAAGTACATATAAACTGTAAATAAAAATCCACACAAACCATGCTGCAGCAATTAACTGGACAGGGCAGGATAAGGAATTGCAGACTTCAAACACCAACAAAACACACACAGTTGGGAAGATGCCAGGAACGCAGATAAGCCTCGACAAAACAAGATAATTCACGATTTGTTTCCAACAAGTTGCTGTGCTCAAACTCCCTTTTTAAACACTGTGTTCCCAGCTGCAGCTGATGAAGGGAATCAGGGCCCTTTCCTCCCCCGTAAACCATGCAACTCAGTTGCTCTCTTCTCTGTTCTTTCCTGTATGCCAGAGGATGAAGAGGGGATGGGCCTGGGTCTTCCTCTGAATTCCCTCTCCCTTGCTCTACCTCTCCCCTGCTCTGCCCAGCCGGATTGTGCCCTTCCCCAGTTTCTTCCACAGCCAATGGAGCCACACTCCCACTCCCTATCAGCTGCTCGGCCTTCCCCTCGGAATGACAGGGGCATGACAGCCATACAGTGAGCAACTTAGAAATATTACATTTGCATTTTTGCCGTGTACAAATGTAGCTACTCAATTATAGCTGACTTGTTTTAAGTGTGTTGCTCCAAGCCAGTAAACCTTCTCAGATCTATCCTGATGGTGTAACATCCATCATTATTGTAGGACAACAGTACGCAAAATGGTTAAATGTTTATACACATTGTATATCAGAATGCAGTAAAGGGGAAGTTAGAAATGAAATATTGATGTATAATTTTATTTATTTATTTGATTTCCATAACCGACCATTTCAATTCACTCTGGGAAACTAACGATTTTTTACAAATAAGAAACCAAAACATTTTAAAATAGTAAAAACAACAAGAACAATAGAAACAGCCAAAATAAATATAGATAGCAGCCTAGACACTTGGCCAGCTAGCAATGCAGCCAGGAAAGAGGATCCTTAACAGGTTCAGCTCCCCATTTTGGAAACAGTTTTTTAGAGTCTTTTGAAGAGCTAACAGCGTTGGCTTGTACTAATTTTTGCAGAGAGGATGTTCCAAAGGGTAGGGGCCACTGCAGAAAAAGCCCATCTTTTAGTCTCCTTCCTTCCTTCCTTCCTTCCTTCCTTCCTTCCTTCCTTCCTTCCTTCCTTCCTTCCTTCCTTCCTTTTTTTATAACAAATAGTGGACATTTTGGAAATCAAGTCAGAGACTAAAATCTTTCTCATATTGTTAAAATAATGGAATATACTTTTTTTTTATAATTTCTCATTAATGTTTCTCATTAATATTTTAACAATATGAGAAAAGATTTGAGTCTCTGAGCACTAATTGTACAATTTTTGGTAATTCTTTGTCTAGTTCCTATATATTTCTGCATTAATTGTTCTTTCTCTCTCTCTCTCTTTCCTTCCTTCCCTCCCTCCCTTCCTCCTTCCTTCCTTCCTTCCTTCCTCCTCCCTCCCTCCCTCTTTCTTTCTTTCTTTCTTTCTTTCTTTCTTTCTTTCTTTCTTTCTTTCTTTCTTTCTTTCTTTCTTTCTTTCTTTCTTTCTTTCTTTCCTTCTTATAATTTGGTTTAAAAGAAAACAAGAAAAAGGTTATCCAACAGGATTATTAAATGGAGTTCATTCCCAAATAATTGCACAAAGGATTCCTAAACTTTCCCAATACTTTCTTTCCCAAACATGAATGCTTCTTTTTTTTTCCAGAGAAACTGAAACTCATTTGGATCCTTTCCACCCTGCTTCTAACAAGCTGAGGAAACATTTTCCAAGCACATGAATGCAATTTCCCTTTCCGTAATGAGTGACAGATCACACATTCACACACACATTCAGAGAGAGAGAGAGATAGAGAGGGAGGTAGTTTTCTACAAGTCCTTTTCTCATTGGGAGGGAGAGAATGACAATATTGTGCAGCCTCAGTCCTACCGATTAAAAATCCCAGAAGAAACAAGATGACAGCTATTCCCACTGCCAGCACCCAGAATCGGGCTCGAGGCCCACAGCTTCTATCTCGTGGGTAGGCGGGTTCGGTGCTCGTTCTCAAGCTGGTCCACATTCTTTCCAGAACTGTCGATTTCTCTAATGTTTTCCAGGCTTCTTCCAAACAGCCATACAGGCTCACAGGCTATGGATGGGGACAAAGTCCTTTCTGCTTTCTTTTCTCCAGATCTTGGCTCCTCCTGCAGGCTCCTAAAAAGAGAAACCAGTCTCCGGAAGAAAACATTCCAGACTGGGCACCATTCTTGGTCCGTAGCCAAAGTGGTTGGCCTGACTCGTTGCTGTTTTGCTTCAGAAGAGTTTCTTTTAGAGCAATGCAAAAGCAAACTCTCTGGGTTTTACGACTGCAACTCCCCAAAATGGCTTTTTTCCTAAAGCACATAATTTTCAAGTAACCCGATACTTTCTTGAGTAGTAAAATATTTACTCAAGGAGGAGTTATGGGAGGCCATGGGAAGGAAGGAAGGAAGGAAGGAAGGAAGGAAGGAAGGAAGGAAGGAAAGAAAGAAAGAAAGAAAGAAAGAAAGAAAGAAAGAAAGAAAGAAAGAAAGAAAGAAAGAAAGAAAGAAAGAAAGAAAGAAAGAAAGAAAGGAGGGAAGGAAGGAAGGATGGAAAGAAGGAAGGAGAGAAAGAAAAGGAAAAGGAGGAAGGAAGAAGGAGGAAGAAAGAAAAAGAAAAAAGAAAGAAAGAAAGAGGGATGGAAGGAAGGCACAGAAAGGAGGAGGAGGAGAAAGGAGGGAAGGAAGGGAGGAAAGAGGGAAGAAAGAAAGAGGGAGGGAGGGAAGGAAGGAAGGAAAGAAAGAAAGAGAGAGAGAGAGAGAAAGAGAGAGAAAGAGAGAGAGAAGGATGGAAGGAAGGAACCGGATTCTATTCTATTCTATTCTATTCTATTCTATTCTATTCTATTCTATTCTATTCTATTCTATTCCATTCCATTCCTATTCCGTTCTTATAGTAAACAGCAGTATTTTCACTTTTGTACAATATCACAATTTACCAGTAGATGGCAGAGATGTACCATAAACAGCATAGCGGGAGAGCACTTTGTCTGATAAGCTTAAGAAGTCTGGCCTTGCATTTTTGATAAAATTTAATTAAATAATAATTAGAAAATATATTAAAAATTGCATTGGAATTTGTTAGTTGAAAAAAGTGAGATCAGATGCCTTTCAATTTTTTTGCTACTGTAAGTGGCAGTAGGTAAAGGGTAGCTTTAAAAAGAAATTGCTGTTGTACCTCTGAGTTATGCATATTCAAACAGAAAAATTAGACTTTCCCCAAATCCTGCTACAAATGCTGATCCAGATTGCACTATTCTCCCGTCTGGATATTTTTCAAAGAAGGGAGATGCACAACGGAAAATCGCCCCTCTTTAAATGTTTCATCTAGTTTCCTTTTCAGATGCTATTCTCTGCTTGCTTGCTTCTCGCAGTTAAGATTTGTGGTTCAGACCTATTCATAAATCAGCTAGCAATGTGAACAGGTGAGTTGAGAATAAAAATGCAGACCTGTTTTTATACTTGATAGGGAGTATCCAACAAGCCAGATTAGCTGAGAGGATTGTGCTTCATATTTTGTATTCTGGTCAGGGGTGGGATTCAAATTTTTTAACAACTGATTCTGTGGGCATGGCTTAGTTGGTGGGCATGGCTTGGTGGGCATGTAACTGAGTGGATGTGGCTTGGTGGTCATGTTACTGGCTGGGCGTGGCCAACTCAACATCAATCACATCGAGGCACGCATCTCCTTGCATGGCCTCTCGTGACTGTGGAATGCTGCAACAGTCTTAAGTGTGAAAAACGGTCATAAGTCATTTCTTTCAGTGCCATTGTAACTTTGAAGGTCACTCCACACAAGCAAAGTACCAGCAAAGGAGGGGGAAAAAACTCCAGAGAAGTTCCAGAGACAGGAAGTCTAGTCCTGCCAAGAATGTAATAAGGGTTAACGGAGAGGCAGTTTCTGTAAGCAACACCAGAATGTTTCCTTCCTGCCTTCCTTACAGGATTAAGCCAGTCGTTTCTTCTAACAATCAGTTCTCCAAACTGCTTAGAATGTTAACAACCTAGGAATAGGTGCGAACTGGTAGAATCCCACCCCTGATTCTAGAAGAACTTTGCCCAACCTGGTGTTTTTAAGAAGATATAGGACAACCAGTTGCAATGTATGGCTGTGAAAGTTGGACTGTAAGGAAGGCTGAGTGCCAAAGAATGGAGGCCTTTGAACTATGGTGCTGGAGGAGAAGCCTCCTGCAAGTCCCTTAGTCTGCAAGGAAACAAAATCAATTGATCCTAAAGGAGATCAACCCTGACTGCTCTTTAGAAGGCCAGATCCTGAAGATGAAACTCAAATACTTTGGCCACCTAATGAGAAGGAAGGACTCACTGGAGAAGAGCCTCATGCTGGGAACGATTGAGGGCAAAAGAAGAAGAAGGAGATGGCAGAGAAGGAGGTAGCTGAATAGAGTCACTGAATCAGTCGGTGTGAGCTTAAATGGACTCCAGAAGATGGTAGAGGACAGGAAGGCCTGGAGGAACGTTGTCCATGGCGTCACGATGGGTCGGACAAGACTTTGCAACTAACAACAACAACCACAACAAGGACACCATTTGTCTGAAATGGTTTAGGGTTTCCTGCTTGAGCAACAGGTTGGACTAGAGGACCTTCAAGGTCCCTTCCAACTTTATTATTCTGTTATTCTCCAGAGATGTTGGACTTTCAGTATCCTTAATCAGGGAATCTGGGAGTTGAAATCCAATACATTACACCAGTTGGGCAAAACAATTTTCCTGGGAGTGTCTGCATGTCCTTTAATAATTCAGAATGACCCTCAAGGTTGGGAAATTATATTAGAGGGTTCAACCAGACCTTGTGCCAGAGAATATTCCTGAGGATACTCCTACATTTTGAGATAATATAATGACATCTAAGCATGAGATACTAGGAAAGAGCTAACATGAAGAGGCAACTCCTAACAGACTTCATGGACAATTCATGGAGGTCCTTCACAGAAAACTTAATGAAGGTCCATTATTGGCAACCTCATAGAGCAGTGGTCACCAACCAGTGGGCTGGGGACTGCTAGTGGTCTGCAGGAAATTTTTTGGTGGTCTACAGAGAAATGTCACCCCCAAAGCACCCACCGAAAGCAATTAATTCAGGCTACACAGGAACACAAGGCTACGCCACCCACATGGCCTGTGGGAACACAAGGCTTGCATCGCTTGCATTGCGACAACACAAGGTAGTAAGGGGAGGGGGGAAAGGGTGGAGGAGGGGAACTTGCTCCACTCACCCCATGCACCTGGCCTGGCCACCGGGCTGCTTCCTTCCGCTTCCTTCTTCTTCTGCTTTTGGCTGCATGCAAGGAAAACAGCAAAAGTCTTTCTTTCTCTCCCCCAAACTCTGCCAGAAATGAGTCTTTGGGACCCTGCAAGGCCTCCTGCTCCAAGAGGCTGCGCCAACGCGACAAGTCTCACAAAGACTTATTTCTGGAGGAGTTTGGGGGAGAGGAAGAAAGACTTCTGCTGCTTCTGCTGCTTTCCTTGCATGAAGCCAAACATATCTCTCTCTGCCTCTCTGCCTCTCTCTCACTCTCTCTCTCTCTCTCCCTCCCTCCCTCCCTCCCTTTCCCTCCCTCCCTCGCTCCCTCTCTGCCTCTCTGCATCTCTCTCACTCTCTCTTTCTGAAAACGGAGCTGGAGACAGTATCCTGGGATCCCAAATAAAGAATGATCGATTGGTAGGAAAAACTGGGTGAGGAATTTTCCTGCAGACTTTTTTGGGGATTTACCCAGGGTCTCTGGTCCACGGGATTTAAAATTATGAGTTTGGTGGTCCCTGACGTCCAAAAGGTTGGTGCCCCCTGCCATGGACAACCTTATGGAGGTCCTTCACAGACACCCTCATCGAGATCCTTCACAGATAACCTCATGGAGATCCTTCACAGACAACCTCATGGCTTTCTATCCATCGTTCTCTCCTTGAGTGAATCCCAACCACTTCTTCCTTCCTTTAGAATGAACGTCAACCACGGTGTGACAAGTGCATCCATGAAGTCATATCCAGAGGATATTAAGCCAAGTTTTGAGAGATACTTTCTCTACGCACATGCTTTTATATGCTTGAATTTAAATTCCACTAATCTTCGCAGGTCTTTCCATGGGGCAGAAACTAGTAGAATTTGGGTTTATATGCTAGCTCTCTGCACTTGCACTGCTATTTAGATCAGCTTTCATCTTAGAAACACCTCTTTCTTTGGAGAATGGACCTAGCTATTTCATTTCTGATTTTATCTCCTCTGGTCACTCCAGAAGCTTTTTGCAAACATCTCATTTTCATGGTGACTAACTTTCGTTTATGTTCTATCATCCATGTCCACTCTATTCTCTTCCAGTTTTTAAAATTGGTTTAGTATTTTATTCTTTTGATGTTTATTTTTTTTTAAATGGATTTCAGCACTTAACTTACAGAACCTTGTGGCATCCCTTTTGTGTCTCTAAGAATCCCAGGGGAGGAAAAAAAAAACTTCCTACCCTGACTTGGTTGTTTTAAAAGGCTGCAGTGGACACCTTCAATATCTGCAAGGATTTGGGGTCCATCCTCTTTCTTTAGCATTTAGAGGACAATTGATATATTTTCAGTTCGGTCAGAAAACTTCAGTCGATGAAATGCTAATTTGAGCACACAACGATTGCAGATACTCGGTATGGCTAGTCTAGTAAAGAGAAGGACCAGGGGAGAGATGATAGCAGTCTTCTGGTATTTGAAGGCTGCCACAGAGAGGAAGGGGTCAAGCTATTTTCCAAGGAACCTGAAGGCCAGACAAGGAATAATGGATGGAAACTGAACAAGGAGAGATTCAACCTAGAAATAAGGAGAAATTTTCTGACCGTGAGAACAATCAACCCATGGAACAGAAGCTGCCTTTGGAAATTGTGGGAGCTTCATCACTGGAGACTTTCAAGAAGAGACTGGACTGCCATCTGTCAGAAATGGTATAGGGTCTCCTGCTTGGGCGGGGGGTTGGACTAGAAGACCAACAAGGTCCCGTTCAGCCAGTGGTGGGATTCAAATATTTTTTACTACCGGTTCTGTAGGCGTGGCTTGATGGGCGTGGCAGGGGAAGGATACTGCAAAATCTCCAATCAGAGGTGGGATTTGCCGGTTCTCCAAACTACTCAAAATTTCCGCTACCGGTTCTCCAGAACTGATCAGAACTTGCTGAATACCACCTCTGCTTCCAGCCCTGCTAATTTGTTAAAACCATGGCAGCCTTCCATGACCGATCCACACCTTTTTTTTTTCCTTTTGTCTTCCTGCTTTCCCAAAGTCGTAATAAAAGAG